TGGAATTTATATTCTAATGGAAGAAGAAAGACATCACATAATAAATAGACAGACAGATAGAGGGGAAGAAGTTAGCAGATAGGGGTAAGTGATTAGAAGAGAAAAATGCTCATAAAATAGGTTGTGACTGGGTGGATGTAGTCATTTTGGAAATGGTGACATTTATGCTAAAATCTGAGGACGTAACTTCTTCCTTTTTGGACATCCACATCCCTCTCTATAAAATGTGACTACTGAACAAGGATGCTTTTGAACGTGTCTTCCAGTTCTAGGAATTTGTGATTTCATGGCTATTAGAGAAGTACTCGTGTGAACACATATTTTTAACATCAAATATTATCCTATATTTAAGAAAATCATTTATGGCAATGAGTCTTAGCTCTGAAGACATTTAAGGTAACAGTAATTCTTCTGTAATGAACTAAATATAGCTTTGCACACTTAACTTTTCCTGCTGATCTTTGTCGGAGCTCTGTCTGACAAGGAAGTGAGTATTTTGTTGATGTTTTGGCAAATGAAGCCAAGCTGGCCTCTGATGAGAAGGGCTAATGTATCCTTCCATGTATAAATGAATTTGTAATGAGGTTAGAAGTTGTCTTAAGCTAATTCTTTCTGTTGATCACTTACAACCACAAATTCAGACAGACTGAAATTTTACGAAGTGAAATGAAACTCTAAGCCACATGTTCTTTTTTACATAAAAACAGAAAAAAAAATTGAGGTGATGGGGTATGAAATTTTCTAAGGAAACATCAGTATTTTGACCCATATTTTTCATGTACCAGTTAACTAGAAAATTACAAAACCTGAAAAACTCAGATAAATTGTACCAAGGGAATTAACACATTACATTCATTCCCCTCCCCCTCTACCTTCCTCCCTCCCCTCTGTCTCCCTGCTGCTCACCAAGCTGGGGCACATTTCTGGGACGGAAACGAAGGCCTTTCAAGCTGTTGAAAAATGAGGGCCCGTATTCTGCAGGAGCTGGCTGGTTTCCCAGCAACACATTGATTAGCGGGATCACTACTTTGGGCACCTTGAGGATAATTAAATATTAAGTCCCTATTTGATGTATGCAAAGTCTGCCTAAGAGGATTACCAGCCTCAGTGAAGGTAGCAGTCCCACGTTTTCTGGTAATTGAACATTGCAATGTCATTACCTATTCTTATCTTTACACTGTAAGACTGTCTCTATCCTTAATATTACCTTTGAGGATGGAGAAGGAGATAGGGAGAAATTAAGAAAATGAGAGCCTGTGCAATCAGCACTTTGGGGTCTTCTAGGTGTTTGGGATATGGAGATGAAGACGACCTCTGTCGAAGAAATGACAGAGGTGAGCAAACCATCCTCTGACTCCTCTGGTTCAAGGCTCCATTTTACATACCAAGCAGCCAAGGCTCACAGTTTAAGAATCTTCTCCGAGATCATAAACAACAGTGGAGGGAGGATGGAGACACATGCATATGATTTGTCCACCAGCGCCCCAATCTTTCTACCGGTCTAGTGAGAGATAACATAGTTTTTTAAAAACAGTAATGAAGACTACCTCAAATTTAAACTATGGGCATAGTTCTACAGCATTCCAGAGGTTGTTGCTACTTCCATTCTGATGTTACAAATTTTTTGCATTCATTTTCTAAATAGCAAACAGCTATTTTATAAGGCAGCGTTCCCCTACCAAATTCACTTGCCCTCCAAAATAGATCTGAATAAGCAAGGCGAGGCTGACATAGAAAACTTAACTTTTAAAGGAGGAGAAGGAGGAGACACTCAGTGATTTAATTTATTTTGAAGAAGTCTACAAATGAATAACATAATTAAGCCATTATGGTAGTTTTTTTTTTTAATTGAAGCACAGTTGACTTGCAGTGTTGTATTAGTTTGAAGTGTATGACATAATGATTTGCTATTTTTATAGATATACTCCATATACAGTTATTATAAAATATTGGCTATATTCCCTGTGTTGTACATTACATCCTTGTAACTTATTTGTTTTATACCTAATAGCTTGTACCTCTTAATCCCCTCCACTTACCTTGCCCTCTCCCTACCGCTCTCCCCTCCGGCAGCCATTAGCTTGTTCTCTGTACCTATGAGTGTGTTTCTGTTTTGTAATATCCATTTGTTTTATTTTTTTAGATTCTACACAAAAGTGACAACATACACTGTTTGTCGTTCTCTGACTTACTGGGTTGGCCAAAAAGTTCATTCAGGTTTTTTGTTACATCTTACAGAAAAAGGCCAAAATTCAATCTTTTTGGCCAACCTAATATTTCACTAAGCATAATACCCTCCAGATCCATCTGTGATGCTGTAAATGGCAAGATTCCATTCTTTTGTATGGCCTAGTAATATGCCACTGGAGATATATATCTGTATATCTATATATCTCACATTTTCTTTATCCATTCAACTGTAGACAGACACTTAGGCTACTTCCATATCTTGGTTATTGTAATCAGTGCTGTTATGGACGCTGACACGTATGTATCTTTTCGAATTAGTATTTTCATTCTTTTTGGATATGCACCCAGGAGTGGAACTGCAGGATCATATGGTAGTTCCATTTTTAATTTTTTGAGGAACCCCCCTACTGCTTTCTATAGTGGCTGCCCCAGTTTACACACCCACCACAGTGTGCTAGAGTTCTCTTTTCTCCACATCCTTACCAGCCACATGGAAAAAAATGAAATTAGAACATTTTCTCACAACTTATACAAAAATAAACTCAAAATGGATTAAAGACCTAAATGTATGGTAGTTTCCTTATTTCTACTACCAAATACGTTAAGAAACTCAGATCATTAGCTTCCAAGGACCAGGAAATTGTTCTTATACAGAGGGAAAGTAGGAGGAGGTAGAAAATGTAAAAAGCGAAGGAGACATGAGATGACTTTTACTAAAGTCAAGAGACACCCTGGAGAGATGTTTGTTGAGGGCCTGAAAAGCTCACAGCACCAGAGGAAACACTGGCCAAACGAGGAGCAACACGCAGACTTTGCAAATGAGAGACAACAGTGTGTATTCAGTGAAATTAAGGTCAAGTCAGCTTAGAAAAGTACATGGAAAAGGAGTCTTAACAAAGCTAAGCTCCCTTAAATACTGTCTTTGGAACAAGTTCAGCTAAGATGAAATTAAAATCTGAGAAATAGCCAGAAGTCATCTAAAAGCTGCAACTTGTTCTCTGAATAACTGGAACATCAAGGAAAACTCAAAAGAAGAAATAGTAGTTATACTTATATTATTTCTGAAGCATTTAGACCCAAATATCAGAGTGTATGTTCTAATGTGTCAACACAACAGGTAAGATGGATATTTTCCTCTTTTCCCAGTTTCCACGTTGCTTCATAACATTTCCGGTGCAGAGATCTGACATGAAGTGAGGCTCCAACCACAGAAGCCGGCCTCATCGTCCTGCCAGGACAGAGGCATCAAGGAAGATGCAACTGAAAAAGGCTGAGAACTTGAAAAATGGAGGTTCTGTCAGAAAAGTACATAAAAGTCAGAGCGCTCATTTGTTTCAGGATGAGTCAGAACTTAAGGTTCCACACGGCAAAAATAATGTGACCTAGTTTGGAGCTTACCTCCGAGATGCTTTGGGGACCTTCGGGTCTGCTGAAAACAAGCACACCTCGAGCATTCACTATGCCAGGGGCCTGGAGTATATGTCATAGCCCATTGCGTTAGTGTTCACAGACTGCTCCTGAAAAAGCCCGTTAGTGGTCTCTTGATGCAATTCAAAGCGAAATGCTGACACTAAATAATGTGATATGGTCATGATGCTTCAGAGAGTATTATTCAGGTATTAGTGACTTTTGATACAATCCATTTCAGCAATGTGGCAAGATTAGAGAATCTTTGATAAGTCCATCTTGTTTGAATCTCAAATTCCCTAACTCTGAAGAATAGATAACAGTATTTACCTGTTTCTCTCACAGAGGGAAATAAGAATATGTGAGGTAATTCTAAAGATGCTCTGAGAGGAGTCTCGAGATGTCCTTAATATTTGGTTCTTTTCTAAAAGAAGTTCATTGTTCTTTAAATGAAATAATAAGGAAACAAACAGAAATGATAAAGCAGAGCTTTAAAATTAGAAGGTCAATTGAGTTGGAATCAGACTTCCAGGAAACTCTTTTGCAGACTAGATTAACCTAGGAAGTCTTATTTTCTAACTTTTATTGGCCTGTAGTCTACTCTGCAAGCTAAAGCGCTTGATTAAGTGCTGACTCTTAGATCCTATGCTTTCAGGACGCATCAGTTTAGAATCTAAGCCAAAATTCAACAGCCACCGTATTGCGATTTAGGAATTGGCATTTCCACTTACTCAATCAACAAGCATTTAAGCTCTGAACGTGTGCACAGCGTACTTAGAGGAATTTGAAAAATGATAGGTATATCCTCCAGGGTTTCTCTGTTTTCAGGTAGTGGGGAGACAAAACTTTTAGTAGTAGTAGTAACAGCAGTAATAATAATAGATCAAATGTGTGGACCTCAAGGTTCAATGAATTACGTTTGAAATGGTCAGGGAAGGGTCCAGACAGGTGATGGACTGAGTGAGCCCTGAAGGATGATACGGAGGAACCAAGATCTCGTGTGCCTGCTGCATTTTGTCTGTGTGTGTACAGAAGAGAAGGGACGGCATAACAGCGCCTGGGCAGAGCATAAAAGAAATGAAATAGCTATACTGTATGCTGAATTTCCACTTAGATCTGCATTTCTCCAGGGAAAGGGTGAGCTGCCATAATTAACTGATACTACGAAAAATCCTGACTGTACCCTATGAAGAGAAAAATTAGATACACATGTTAGGTGACTGAGGCATCATCTACTATGCATATTCAAACACACGGAAAAATAAAAACAAAATCTGTTGCACGTATTTAACTACTACAAAGTTGGACTGATGAACACACCGGGAAGTTTGCATTAGCAAGCTGATTGCTCACCTGAAGGTGGTTTAAAGTAATCAAGAAATAGCAGTCAGATGCTCCCTTACCTGTCTCTGGGGCCAAGTGGCTTTGAGGATGGCCTCCGTTCTAAAGAACACAAGGAGCCTGCCATCCTCCTCGGTCAGGTGAAATGACTGTTCCAGAATCTGCAGCACTTGAATGCGGGGCCTCACGGGCCAGGCGTCGTCAGCACAGAAAGGCCGCAGCCACTCCAGCAGGTCCTCAGAGGACACCAGCTCTTCTCTGCAAAATCAAGGGTTAGATTAAAAAGAAAAAAAAAAAGACTTAGTAGTTTCTAATTCCAGTAATCAAATGTGGTGACTGATCTAAACAACTGTTTGTTGGGTGACTTTATTTTTTTTCCTACTGCGAGGAAAAATGTAGGTTTTAAATGGCTTAAAGCAAACCACATTAGGTGTTTAAAACCTATGTAAAATGTATGTGATTTTTAAACAGTATCATATTCAAATGAGTTACAGAAAGCAGATAAACATAATCAGTATGTTCTTAGCTACTCCATTTCTTAAACAAAGTTTATTAAGAGGCACGGCTTATTTCAAAGTTCTATGAAGATGTATGCCCAGTGCCCATCCAGTTCCCAGGGCTTAAAAGACTCCCTTTTGGGGCTTCCCTGGTGGCGCAGTGGTTAAGCGTTTGCCTGCTGATACAGGGGACATGGGTTTGTGCCCCAGCCCGGGAAGATCCCCAAATGCCGCGGAGCGGCTAGGCCCGTGAGCCACAGCCGCTGAGCCTGTGCGTCCGGAGCCTGTGCTCCGCAACGGGCGAGTTCACAACAGTGAGAGACCCGCGAAACCCAAAAAAAAAAAAAAAAAAAAAGACTCTCTTTGTATTGAATTGAATCGACAACTAGCTCAATGGGCAAAATTAAAGATTTTCAAATCAAACAGTTTTCAATAGAACACTGCTTTACAGTGATAACTGTTTCTATTGATAATAGTTTACATAGGAGGGTGCTAGAGTCTTGGATAACCAGGTAGGCATCTGGAAAATATCTTTGATTGAAATATTATTTTAGTCTTGGCAAACAAAATAACTCTTGTAATACAATTTTCATGAATGGCTTATCTCATCAACTAGTTAATAACTCTGAATTCAAAGAAAAAGAAAAAAGTATGGTTTATTTCTACTAATGATACTAATAGTGCCAGGCATCATTAGGTAATTTTATATAAACTATTACTAGTCGACAATAACTATACAAAGTAAATATATTTACTTTGTAAATATTTTATTGAAAATTCTTTCAGTTTTATTGAGATACAATTGGCATATAACATTGTATTACTTTAAGGTGTACAACGTCATGATTTATGTATATATACTGCAAAATAATTACCACAGTAAGTTCAGTTAACATCCATCATCTGATATAGTTACAAACTTTTTTTTCTTGAGATGAGAACTTTTAAGATCTCTCTTAGTAACTTCCAAATATATAATATATTGTTAACTATAGTCATCATGCTGTACATGTAAATTCCATTTTATAGATGAGGAAAGAGACTTCATGGAAGTGATAGTGTATGCCCACAACAACTATACTAGTGCAGTATGACCCCAAAGTCCATGTTCTTTCTACTATTTTTCTGTGATAGAATTTAAATAAGGGGTTAGAGTATCAAATTTGATACTACCTTAAAAATAAAATATGAATGTGTGATTATTAAAGAACTGGGAGGTCTAAAAGAATTTGTCGAAGGGGACATTTGTACAACTTTCTATCCAGTACTAGGATCTTTTCATTTATAATCCCAAATGGACCATCTTAGGAAAACAACTTATTTGATGATGATGTCGATGAATTACTACCATCGATGACTGTTAAGAGGTCACTCATACAGAAGCCTCACTTCCACAAGGTCCTAGAGATCCAGGTTAAAGCCCTGACTTATATACATTCTTTTATAACCAGATCCTTAGGCTTTCACCAATAAATCACCTACATCAAGTTCCAAATTCCATGAACTAACAAGACCACATAAAATTTTTTTAAAACTTCTGAGAATAGAACTCTACAATACCACTGAGTATTTCTCTCAGTGTGCATTCTATAATACACTTGCCAATACAATTTCAGGGCAATTTAAATTAAAAAAAAAAAGTTCGTTATTTGTATTTAGGAATAAAATATATTACAAAATGCCATGGACAAGTGGTTCAAGCATTTCCTAAATTTACAGACATTTGTTAGTTTTACCTATGAGTGCCACTCTTTATACGTATCAGAAATGTCAAAACTGGGGTGCAAAAGAAGCAGAATGCTATAAATATTTCCTGGATATCTACTACTTGAAAAGCAAACAGACAGTATTGTGTAGTGGAAAGAGTATTATTTTGGAATTTGATGGACCTATGAATCTTTTCCTAACAACTCTCAATAAAAATCATGAATGTCATCATTCCCGTCTTACAGTTAAGTAGACAAAGGTCCTGAAAGTGTGTCTGTTGGAGTCTTTGCAACCAAGATAACTTATATAAAGTACCCAGAATTGTATGTGGCACAGAGGAAGGATTTAATAAACAGCAACCATCATCCGAATAATCATCATCATTTTATTATCAGCATCAACAGAGTACTAGCCTGTACTGGATGATCAGGGATGAACAATTATATGATCTGTGCCTTCAAAGAATTAATAATACAATGAAACAGAAAGACTTCACAAATGACTATTCTCTAAATATTAACATAATATAAATGTGAACAATTGTTTTGAAGAAAGAGTAAAATCAGGGAAGGCTTCACAGAGGACGTGGCCTCTGAACCGGATCACAAAGGGCAAATGGAAGGCACATAAGTGGAAAGGTGGGAAAATATAATCCAGATAAAGAGAAGAGCAAGGGAAAAAAAAAAAGTCCAAGATTTCAAAGGACATAGCATGTTCAGGGAGCAATAAAAGCACAGATGGCTGGGGGTCAATCAGAGGAGACAGCAAAGTGAGGACAGGTCTCCTGACCTGGATAACCAGGAGCTCGCACACAGGCTGAAAAGGTGGCGCACGTTCAAGCTCTGAAAACACAGGCTTTGCAGACATCAGCCCAGATTCAGTTCCCAGAATGACCACTTCCTGACAGCACTACACTGACCAAGAAGTCACGCAACGGTTCTGAACCTCAGTGTCTTATTTGTAAATTGGAGATAGGTAATAACCCCTTACTCGTGGAGTGGTTGAGAATGAAATACATAAAATGAAATAATAAAGCACATAATACATTATCCGGCACATAACGAAGAACTTCAATTAGTGGCAGCAATGATTACTGAGGACATTGGTCTTACCTGGTGTGGAATGGGAATGATGGAGGGTTTCTGAGCAGTGAAATATCATAGTCATGGTAGTGCTTAGAGAGGTGTGCAGGCCGGGGCATGCTCAGGCCCTTTTGGTGAGGCCTGCACTGGTCAAATTAAGTGTAATTCAAGAGAAAAGAAGATTAAAGTACATTTTGGGCTTTGAGTCCAAGCCAGTTTCACATAATAAGAAGCTGATATTTTTGACCCTGTCACCCAAGTGCCAAGAGGGGAGCAGGTAGGATGAGCTAGAATGGGAAGAAGCTGGAGTCATGAAGAGGATGGAAGTTACGAAAATAATGCAAGACCTGCATACAGTGAACAAGAATGAAAATTGTTAATAATAAAAACTATGAAAGCTTACTGTGTGCCATGAATTACATCACTTCATCGTCACTATCTTTTTCATGTATTCTGTTATCATCTCGTTTGTGGATAAGGAAGTAACCAAAGAGACGTTTAATAACTTGTCCACAGTCACGCAGTAAGTCGTGGAGCCAATATTTGAACTTAGACGATGTTACTGCTTTGTCAATCACTATGCGATGCTACTGAACCAAATGGGGGCAAATTCCAGAACACTGTGGCAGTAGATTAAAATTATTCAGGTACTGATGTGATACAGAGAGATTATTATCATAGCGTTTTCCAAGTCATTAGATTCCTTTTACCTAACAACTTGCTGTGCAGTTGATAACATTGGACATTTTGGAAAAAACTGCTCTAAGTTTTGGTTGATAGTTCAAATACATAATAAAATTACGAAAACTCATTCCTAAAACAGAAACATTGTGCTCTAGAAGCACTATGTTACAGATGAGCTTGGCTATATACTGTGAACATTTGTGCTCAATAAGACTGCACAGAAATGAAAGGCAGCTCTGTAGGAAAAGCTGTCCAGGAAATCGACTAGACAGTATCTCCTAAAGATTTTAGCTGCAAAATAGTTTACATTTTAATTTCAATTTGAGTTTTTAAAATTCGTAGTCTTTCTTATGATTCGGCAAATACACACACACACACACATACACAGAGGCAAAGAAAGAAAAACAGAATGTTAGAATTGTGATAGAATGTTAACAATTGGTGAATCAAGGGGAAGAGAATATAGTCATTATTTTTCAATCTTTGCAACTTTTCTGTGGGTTTGAAATTTTTCAAGATAAGCAGGTGGGTAAAATATAACCAATTGCAACTTTCTTTTTTTAATAAATGTATTTATTTTTGGCTGCGTTGGGTCTTCATTGCTGCGTGTGGGCTTTCTCTACTTGTGGCGAGCAGGGGCTACTCTTAGCTGCGGTGCACAGGCTTCTCACTGCGGTGGCTTCTGTTGTTGCAGAGCACGGGCTCTAGGCTCACGGGCTTCAGTAGCTGTGGCACGCAGGCTCAGTAGTTGTGGTGCATGGGCTTAGTTGCTCCGCGGCATGTGGGATCTTCCCAGACCAGGGCTTGAGCCTGTGTCTCCTGAATTGGCAGGTGGATTCTTAACCACTGCGCCACCAGGGAAGCCCCCAACTACGACTTTTACAATGTAAAAAAAAAAAAAAAAAACAGAATGGGAAGGAAAATGATTCCATTTTTATAGCATTTTATGGAGGCAAGGAGAGGGTTTAATGAGCTTAGGAATAAAAAGAGAACATGATTTCAAAACGTTTTTACCTTATTATAAAAGAGATATACAAATGATTTTAAAAAGATGTAAAATAGGTAATAGAGAAAAATATCTCAGTTTCATTGCAAATACACAGACATTTGCTTCTACCTCTTTCCCTATAATGAGGATTTCTGTGGTGGGGGGAGGTTATTGTACTACACAGGGTAATTCAGTACACTATTTTTTAAAAAAAATTAACTACTAAAGGAAACACACACACATTCACACAATCAGTTTTGGCTCAAAAGATAAGGAGTCTTCTGAAATATACGAGTAGTT